GGTGTCTGTGAGGCACCAGTGGAAAGCAGAAGAGGAGCTTTTCTTCTTGGAGCCAACACTCCTTAGTGTGCTGCTTTGGGCAAGTTACTCAGCCTCTCTGAGCCTCTGCACCCATAGGGTTGAGCAGAAGGTTAACTACAGGACTAAATATGGAGAATCAGCACCTGCCAAGAAAGGGGAGGGGAAGCGCCCTGCTCACCATGCCCTCAAGGGAAGGAGAACAAAGAAACACAGTATGAGGAAAATAACCCCCAGCTAGTGAGAGCCCTGCCAGGCCCTGGGCCCAGCACTGAAGCTTGTGAATGAGTGTTCCTATGGAAAGTGCATCAGTGATTTTCAGTATAATTAAGATGGATGGCTCTAATAATCCTGCGGGGCCTGATTCCAAGCCACATGACCAGGCAGTTAAAAGGAGTTTTTGTACACTTTGCTTCAGTGGACCCTGGAGCCCATCAGAGGAATGTGGATGAGTATCAGGTTAATAATATCCCTTAGTTACTGCAGACTGATCAGGTCTGCAATCTCCCAAACGAGTGTACAGTGAAGGCTAAATAAAAAGAGGCTAATGGAACGATTTCAGGGCTCCAGGAGGATCAAAGCCTTCTCACAGAATCCAAAATTCTCTCAGGGCTAAGACCACGACCTTCTCTGGGTGGCCCATATTTATTTGGTTATCAGATAGACTGGGCGTGGTGGCACATGCCTGTAATCCCAGCACTTGGGAGGCTGAGGCAGGAGGATCACTACAAGTTCAAGACCAGCCTGGGCTACAAAGTGAGCTCAAGGGCAGCCCAAACTGCATAGTGAGACCCTGTCTCAAAAAGACAAAAAATAAAATAAAATAAATATTTGGTTATCAGAAGAAAGGAGGGGAGTACTCAAGAAGGGTGGAATTATTCAAGGACTTCTCCAAATAAGGTATTATGTTAATCCTTAATAAGGGTTAAATTAATCCACCCAGGAGTGAGATGACCGAGACTATAGTCTTCATCTAGTTGAAATCTGATCCAGGTGTCCCTGGCTGTGATCTTGTCTTATCCTTTGAGGCTTTCTGCCTTCATCCGCCATTATAGGTTTTAGTAGGAATTTGTGACTCACAGAGGTTCCCTTACTATGTGTGAACAGTGTGACCTCCTCAGCACACAGCTTGGAGAGCAGGGTGACAGGGTGACAGGGAGACTGGTGCTTTCACAGAGACCTCTACTGTGGAGTATTAAGGTGGAAGCCGATCATGGTTAGGACCCTTCATCTGACTTTGGAGTCTGTCTTTGATGAGCTGGGTGCTCTTGGGCAGGTTCCAGGGCCCTTTGGGACTACCGTGTCTTCTTTTGTAAGCATTCGTGTTTTGTAGGGTAAGACTGACAAGGAAGGGCTCTGCTGGGGACCAAGACACCACATCTCAGTGGGAGCAGGTACAACTTTGTTCTGTCTAAGTAGTGGGTCAAGATGACTTTCCCAGGCTTTGGTGGTCCTGTCAAGTGCTGTTGGGACTTCAATCTATGCTGGTGTTACTCACTCACTACGAGATCACACTGCCCCCAACCCCACTCCCCACCACCCCCAATCCCCACTGCACAGCATTAGCAATAGCACCTGCTAGCACTATTGCCAGGATCCCTGTGCTAGGCACTGTGTTAGACCTTTGCATGAATTTTTTTAAAAAATTCCCACTAGTTCTCCATTATCATTGCTAACAGGTGAATGGCATGGTGGCAGCTATGCTGATCCCATCAGAATCTCCCTGGCTCTGGATCCTGCCCCCATCAGTGCTCTACAGTGCCAGATTGTAAGTGTCAGAATGTTGCTCCTTATGAAGGTGAGTCTTCCAAAGTCTACCTAGCAGAGAATAACCTTCCTTAGAGGCTGTGGCATCCTCCCTTGGGGCCCCGGTAGATCTCTCTACTCTGTCCACTTGGGGGACTCCCACCCTTGGACCAAGCCCACTGCCTCCAAAGACAGATCCCAACCCCTCACTCGCTGCAGAGGGCCCTGTCCCTCAGGAGCCTTCCTCTCTCTAGGCCTGCATCAGCAGAAAGGCCACCAGGATCTTGGCCAGATGCTGCCTGTACCCTGCACAGCCCCTTCATCTCCAGCCCGTCTGTTCTCTGGGCAGTGGTGTGCACGCAGGACTGGCCTTAGGGCAGACCCCTGGGCCATACCATGGTTGGCCCATTACTAAGTGGGCAGGCTTAGACAAGTCACTCTATTCCCCCCATGCCTCAGTGTCTCTATCTTTGAAATGGAGACATTCTTGCCACACATGGCTACTGAGAAGACAGGGCTGCAATGTCTGCAAAGCTTGATGGTTAATCATTCCCAGCCTCTCCTGCCCTCACCAGGGGCTGGACGGGGCTGAAGTGAGTGAGAGTAGGTCAGGGAGAGCCCCTAGACGAAATGCCAGGGGAGACAGAAAACAGAAAGGCTGGATTAAATCGCAGATGCTTATCAGGGCCTGTTGGAATGATGGGACCCCATGCTGCAGAAAGAGCCATCAGGGACAGCTGCTCCAACCACAGCAGTCTAAGCCCCCAATTCTCAAAAGGAGAGGGTTAGTGGTCGGGCTCCCATCTCAAATACCCAACACCCGCTCCTCTGGGCCGTTATCCATAGGCCCTTACATCTAGTGTGTCTTCCCCTTGGTCCTAGCCCACTGCTCCCTGGCCACCAGGGCCACACCAAACCCCAACCAGCAGGCCTTGCCCCTGGCATCGGGTCCAGAAACCGGGAGGCACAGCCAGCTATGTTAATTAATGCTGAGAGACTTAAATACCCTGGGATTTTCTGATGGAGTCACTTCCTGAGGGAACCCGGGACCGTACAGAACTCAGGACTAGGGCCTCAAGGTTCCCAGCCATGGCCCTCGCAGGCCCCTGACTGCTCTGAGTCCCACTTTCTCCACGTATGAACTGAGGACAGGAATGCTTTCTCAGTATCTCACACACAGTGGGCAGGTGTAAGCGGACCCCTGCCAAGCTGCTTTCTTTTCTCTTTCAGCTGCACTCCAGCTAAGCTACAGAGTAGGGAGGGAGGGACAAGAGGAAGGAAGACAATGGCCAGGGTCCTTTACTGTGTCCACACATTTCCTCCTTCGGTTTCTTGAGGATGTGATGATATTCTAGGTGGGAGCTTTGTATGAGTTCAGAGCCCTTTTAAATCCTATAAACCAGGGATCCCCAAACCGCAGTCCATGGCCTGTTAGGAACCTGGCCACAGAGCCAGAGGTGAGAAGTGGATGAGCAAAGCTCCTCGTGTATTTAGAGTCATGCCCCACTGCTCACATTACTGCCTGATGTCTGCTTCTGCCAGATCAGGGCCCTTGTGCCACAGAAGGAAGTCACACGCCCTGGCAGGAAGGCACGTGCATGCGCATATTGAGAAGCAAGTGGTGCAAGAGAAGATCTTCTCCCCAAAGGCAGCTGGAGGTGGTGCGAACACAGGGCTTTAGAGCCTGAGAAGGACTGTGATGCTCAGGGCTCCAAGGAGCTGAGAGGAGATGTCCAAAGCCAGATCACCTTCTTTATCACTTTGCTGGAAACTTCAGCAAACACATTTCACAGCTCTGCTGAGTCCTGGGACGTAGCCAAGAGTAGGAAGGGTGAAGATCTGGGAAGAGAATCAATCAAGAGTCATGGGAGGCAAGGGCCGGACCAGGTGGGCAGTGACATCGGTGGCCTAGCCCACCAGCCGGAAGCAGAGTCAGGATCTTCATGTGCCCTCCATGTGGCTGCTAAACCAACAACCCAGACCGAAGAACAACCACGTGACCTTCCTGAGCATCTGCTCAAGGGTGGACCATGTGTCGTTTGTTTCACACCGAGGATTCCCTAACTCCACAAGTCCTCAAAGAGCAATCACCACCTCCCCGGGTTGTGGAAACTGCATTCATCCTATCATCTCTGCAGCTCCCCATGTGGACCTTGCAAGCAGCTGGGCACATGGCAGCCACAACCTTGGGCTCCTCTGTCATGAGGCCACTCCTTGGGCCTCAGAGAAATCTCTGCTAGTGCCCAGCCCACAGCAGCCCCCTTCACAGCCTTCAAAACTCAAGAGACTGCCATTGACTCCAGCCCCAGAGTAGCTGCCCATCTTCCTGCTAGCATGAGTGCTTAAATAACTGTTTCCAGATGAAAACACCAATAGCATTCAGCTCGCATGGTTGGTGATGGTTGACCCTTAGGTAAGAAGCACCATGCCCTGACCCTAGGCCTGCTGGTCCCGACCAGAGATGGTGTGTCTGAGGGGCTTAACATTAAGCTTATGTCTGACACACAGCACACATTTCTTAATGTTTGGTTATCACAAATGAACTGGACCCCAGCTGCCTCCAGGGACTTCCATAGATGAGGGCCTACATTATGCTAAAAGTTTGACACAGCTCTTCTCAAACACTCAAGAGATAGCATTTTCATTTTCTCCATTTTAAAGAGGAGGAAACTGTAGCTCAGACACAGAAAGAATGTGGTCAAAGACTTTGCAGCAAGAAAATGTCAGAGCACAATTCAAGCCTAGAATCAGCCCAGCAAAGACTGCATGCACATTTATTCCTCATTCCACCACCCTATCCCTGAAAGAAAGCCCTGGAGTGAACCTGCTGTGCCTCCTGGATGGTAGGTGTGGGTAGGAGGGGACTTAGTGTTCATTCAACTGGGGGCCTAGGCCTGTGGCCCTCCGTGTAGCTGACAGATGTAATGCGAGTTCACACGGTGACTCCGGCTTCTCCATCCACAGGGGTAGGCTTTTGGGCAGCAACAAGCGACCTTGTGAGTCTCTTTCCTCACCGGGGCCATCTAGTCCCAGTCTGCAAAGCACCCTTAGCGAGGCAATTTCTCTGCTGTGCTGTGCTGTAACCTTTGCATACAGCCCTATGTTCCCAGAATCACTGCTGAGCAAAAGAACACGGGCCCGAGTGTGGCTTTTTTCTGCTTCACAATGCCTGGGGAACTAACTGGGCCATTCACATGGTCTGGGGGATGGAATCATCCTGAGATAGCTTTGATCTCATGTTGGCTCTGGGCCAGAACGACGTGAGAAGGATCCACCGGGAACTGCAGGCTGGGTGCCACAGTAGCTGTGTTCCAAGAAGGAGCATCCCGAGAGTAAGCATCCAGAGTGCGCATTCCAGCAGGACCAGAGGAAACACCAGGACTGTGTGGATGCTGCTCTGGGAGGCACAGTCATTTCTCCTGTGCTCTGTTCTTACAACTGAGTCACAAAGGCCAAGCCAGATCAAAAGGAGAGGAAAGATCCCACTTCCTGACAAAAGAATAGCCAGTTCCTTTTGCCAAAGAGTATGCGGGTGAAACATAGGGTTCCATCTTCTTTGGAAAAAAACCATTTGCCATACCTGGGAAGGGAACAAGTGCAACTAGTAAGATCCAGGGACCAAACTGATCTACCTTTATAACAATGTTCCTAGTGGCTGGACTCTCCTGTCCCACCCAGGGAGCACTGCCTCCACCCTGCCTGGCCTGACAAAGCAACCCAATTGGATCAGGGGCTCTAGACCTTCTGTGCAGTTACCACCCCTAAGAAATGTGTGCTGAAAGGCCAGAGATTCATTCTGAATGAATGAGAAGCAGGCCCCTTTGACCTTAAAAGATGTCCAACATCCTGGCATTGACTACATGCTCCTGATCTAGGTGTTTATCACAAAACCCCTGACAGCCAGCTCATCATCAGGCAGAAGAAAAGATGCTCTCGTCTCAAGCTATAACCACAACTCAAGCAAACACCAAGGGCCCATGGGGATTCCATGAGAGCAGGGAGACATCCCCATCTCAGGCCCAGTGGATGTCTATCTCTGCCTGCTTCTCCTGGAAAAATGAACACCCCACTTGAGAACTACAGCATCATTTCATCCAGACCAATATAGACAAGCGTGACTGTAGCCATTGTCCCTACTGTCACAGTTATCTTAGATGTCACATCTGTCTCCAAGACATCTGTGAGGCCTTGTCCTTACACACAAGGAGTGTCATGAAAGGGACCTACTTTCAGGAACAAAGAGGGAACATGAGCAAACTTGCTTTAAGGACATCTCCACCAGAGGACAGCAAGAGACCTCAGAATCACAGCAGAGCCTTGGAACATAGACATTCTGCTTTGGGTTTGTGGTTGAATGAAAGGAGCCATTTCCCTTTCTTCTCTGGGTGTCCAAGACTCCTTAAAGGCAACTGATAGAGCTCTGGGTTCCCATCTAGGAGTCAGGACCTGCTGCCACCGAAACAGGCAAGAAGTTGAGGACGTCGTATGTAGGGAGCGGTGGATGACATCACCTCCACCGAGAGATCAGAAGTCACAGATGAGCCACATGGACTGTAAGCTCATGGCTTCATGGGGGATGTGCCTTGACCACTGGCAGCAGGAAAGCCAAGAGAGCCAAGACATTGAGAAAAAGGAAATGACCTGCAGAAATGTTGTGACGACTGTGACCCTATTTTTGGAGGAAGGCTGGTAAGGTCTGAGGAAACCATAGCTTGGTCAGATTCCAACAACCCTGTAAATTAACAACAGCAAGCATGTCACAGTGAGTGTGTAATTAATTGCCTGGTTAAAAACATAAACTTGGGCCATGACAGAAATCAGAGATATGGAAATTACTGCACACAGAAACATCTGAGTAGTCTTTAGGATTCAAGAGCTGAGGAGGGTAGAGACAAGATGGAAATAACTTCAGAGAAAGGGAGACTGAGTGCAGAGGCCCAAGCAGGAGAACACCAAGCCCAAGTTGGGGCCTCATCAGGTTCCATGGAGATTACTGGCTGCGCTGAGTCCTTCTCCAGTCCATGCCCAGCTCCAGCCTGCGTCATCCTCCAGAACAGCAGGGAGATGGCAGGCAGCTCTTTTTCTTTCAGGCCATCTGGCCACGGCCCCTGACTATGCACAGAACGTCTCTACTCTGCCACAGGGATAGATAGGACGGTGCCCTATAGATCCTTGACCTTGACTCTTGATGCTTCCAATCTTTCCCAGGAGCATCATTCACTTAAAATTCCTTCCAATTTCAGTCAAAATTCTTTTGATGGTCATTAAAATTACATGAGTGGTTTCATGAAATTTTAATGTTCTCTACCAGCAAGTCCAGGAGAAATCCCCTCAGGCATCCCCACTGATCATTCTAAGTAGATACAACAAAGCATTTCAAGACAAAAGTTTTAACCTGAAAGAAAATGAAATGAATATTTCATTTATGACGGCTTATCTGGTAATGAATTTTTCTGTAATTTTTTATTTAAAAATATCAAACAACTAAATCTAACCTCTTGTAAAAGCATTGACCAGCCAGATACCAACCTCTTGGATTTGTCAAATGTCCTTTCAACCAAAGTTCCTTGTGATAGCTGATCAGGATGTGTAAGACAATGACCTCTAAGATGATCTCGTGAACCAAGTGAGTAGATTTAATTGTGCACTTTGTTAAGACAGATGTCCATGTAATGTCCGGTTGTACCTCGCTCTCTCACTGCCATTGTCCTAGTATCCTCACAGCTCACCTTCTTGGAAGCAGAAGCTTGTGCTCAGGACTTGACAGCCTCCCAGAAGATTCCAGGAGACCCCAGAAGTATTATAAAGCCCCAATCCAGGTAACTTCATATGCCAATGTTAATGGGTAATAGTGACTTTATGTGCTACTGTTGTTCAGTGAAGTGTATACTTATCTTTTGTCCCTGGTTCCTAACAGAAAACCTTGAAATTCTTAGAATCTCCTGAGTGATAGGAGAATATTTGTTACTCATGGAGGGCTCACAAGACCTTACCTGACCATACCTAGTCAGTCACTATTAAGATTTATATCTAGATGTCCCCCAAAGCCTCATGTGCCCATAGATGGGGCTTTGGGGAGGTGATAGGAACATGAGTTTAAAGCTAAATGTGATGCTGGAAGGTAAAACTAGGTGGAGGTGCTGGGTTCTGAGGTGTGGTCTGGAAAGGTCTGTCTTTCTGCCTCCTCCTTAACCACTCTCTGCTTCCTGTTTGCCATGCCATGAGCTGTTTCTCCTCTGCCATGTCACCCTGCCTTGGAGCCACCTGACTATGGACTGATTCCTCTACCAACTGTGAGGTGAAATAAACCTTTCCTACTTTAACTTGTGTCAAGTATTTCACCTCAACAACAAGAAAGTAACCAAGACACTCGCACAAAATGAATAACTTAGCAGGAGAACTGGCCACACCAAAAAGATCACCATGTGATTGGAGGGTTGACCATCTCTGCTACAAAATCTCAGCCCAGCCTCCAGTAAAGCCAGGAAGGCCTGGAGATTAAACTCAATCAATGGCCAATGATTCAATCAATGACACCTACAATAATGAAATCCCATTAAAAACTCTGGATCTGAGGCTTGTGTAAGCTCTCTGGTTGGTTATACATCAGTGTATCAAGATAGCAATGCATCTGAGAACATGCATGTGGGAACTTCCAGTCGTATCCTCTCCTCCGCGTCTCTGCATTTGGCTGGTCCTGATTTGTCTCCATTATGATAAAACTGTAATCATAATTAGAGTGCTGTCCTGGGTTCTTTGCATTGTTATACTGAATTATCAAATCTGAAGACAGAGTGGAAACCCCTATATTTCATAGGTTGTTGAGAAGAAAAGGTAGCCTGAAGACCCCAGAGCTTATTGTTGGTGTTTAAAGGATATTCTTATGGAGAACTTTGACCTGAACCTGTGATGTCCACTGTGTGTCAAAGGTTACATTTCAGCTGTCCTTCCAACTAACTTAGGTTCACAGTGAGGGGGTGTAGCGAGCTAACTTCCTAACCCACATCAGTGGCTGATGATAGAGGAAGGGGTGCTGACGCTGTCACAGGCCCAGAGGGTTGATAAGTGAGAGGTTCGGAATTATGGCTGGCAGGATTCTGAGATGGCCTTCAAGATTCCTGCCCCTGGTGTTTGTACCCTGTATAATTCTCTCCAATTGGGCATAGGGAAGCATTGGGGTATAACAGATTTCACTTCTGGGACTAGGTTGTATGGTACACAAACCAGAGGGCCTTTTGTAGATATCACTGAACTCCCAAACAAGCGTACTTTGAATTAACAAACAGAGCTTATCTTGAAAATGGCCTATTTGACAGGGTTTGGGCCCTTCCCAAAGAAAGAAATCCAAAAGATGAGAGAGCCTGTGGAGAGGACCACACAGCAGGAACTGCTAGTGACTTCTTGCAGAGAGCAGCCTGCAGCTCAGTCCCACAGCCACAAGCCCAATCAGGTTTGGATAATGCACCCCACAAAGACCCATCTGTTAAAGCTCAGTGCTCAGCCTGCAGTACTGGAGGGAAGTGATGGAGCTTTTGGAAGGTGGGGCCTAGCAGAAGTATTAGGTCATGAGCACATGACTTTGAAGACCTGAGGGCTTTAGTCTCTTCCTCTTTCCCTTTACTTCCTGGTCACCATAAAGTGGGCAGGTTGTTCGGCCATGTGGTCCCCACATTTCCATCCTTCTCATTACAAACCCAGAGCAACAGGGCCAATCCTTCGGAGGCTGGAACTTCTAAAACTGCGAGCCAAGCAGGTTTTTCCTCTTTCTAATTTGAGTATCTTAGGTATTTGATTGGAACAGAAAGCCAACTAACACAACAGCCATGTGAGCTTCAAAGAAAATTCCAAAGCTCCAAACTGGAATGCAACCCACCTGACTTCTAGAATTCAGCCTTGTGAGATTTTCTGAGCAGACACCATGGCATAAGCATGTGTTGCTATAGGCCACTAACTTTGTGGTGACTTGTTACTCAGCAAGAGAAAACTAAGGCATGGGGAAACCTTTACTTGCAGTAGGAGGATTTCAAACGCCAAAGTGAGGGGTGATCTGATTATACATTCTGTCCCGCTTTAGTAAAAAAAAGGACGATTTGAGAGGGAAGCAATTAGTGTGAGGGAGACATAAAAGCAGATTTTAAGTAGGAATTGCTGTGGTTTGAATATGTCACCAGATTTCTTGAGTTAGCACAGTAAACCTCATATTCTTATGTTAATGGTATTTGGAGATGAGGCCCGAGGGGTGATTTGGTTATTCAAGTTCAGTCTTCAGGAGCAGATTAACTGTTTGGGGTTTAATGGATTACTGGATTGTGGGAGGAGAGCCTTTGTTATAAATGGGTTCTATCTGCCTTGCTTGCTCTAGAATGCCATCCACAATGCTACTACACAGCAAAAAGACCCACACCAGAGGTGGGATAGATGTCCCTGCCATGCCCTTGGACCTTCCAGCCTTCAGAATTATAAACCAAATCAGCCTCTACTCTTTATAAATCACCAGGTCTCAGATATTTTATTAAAGCAACAGGAAATCCACTATGACAAGAATCTAAAAGAGTTTCTTGTACTGGAAAGATATTTGGCCTTTAAAGGAGAAGCTTGATCTCCAACTTCACACACTGGATAAGCTGTCCTGTGTGAAGGTTTTGGACAGGCCTGGGTGACAGAAGCACAAGATAGGGTGTGATCTTCCCATGAGAAGATTCTAACTTCTTGGGATGTCTAGAAATGGCAAGGGCTGCTTTTCTCTTCATTCAGACCCCAAATTCTTGCCCCCAAAGTAGATAACAATGAATTATACTATAAATAAGAAGAGAAATCAGGACCAAAAAATAGTGATTTACAACTCATAAGAGCTACCAGTAATAGGCAGAGGGTTGGATTTCAAAGGCTCCCCCAGACTGTAAGTTTGGCTGCCACTTCAAAGGGTATCACTTTAGCCAGTAGATGATACAAATGTGGGAGGAAACTGAGCTGGTACAGGGCCAGGGACAGAGCAGCTCCTGACTCCTGTTTTTGCATGTTCCCCAAAGGGAAAGCATCCATCAAGGGAAAGGAAGACTCCAGGGCATCAAGCCCTAAACCTCGGGATAGAATTCTATCAAGTATGACTGTATCCCACAGAACCTACGCAGGGTTTCATGGTGACCTAGTGCCAAGCACAACCTTCCATTTCTTGCCAAGAGTAGATAAGACTTACTTTTATCATTCTAGCCCCATAACTCAAACCTGAGTTTGGACTTTATTACCCCTAATCTGAGGAAAGACTATACAGTACCTGCCAGGGAAAAGTAGAAGATATGGAGAAAGAGCAAAGAAAGCCAGAAATGGAATTCAGCAGGCAGAGGTAGCTGACCTAATTACCCACTACACGTTTCCCTCCACCCAGAGAGAATTTGGACTCCCTGTCACCCTGAGGTCTCCCTTGACTGCTCCCCAGGAGTTCTCCTTCTCCCTGCAGGGTTGAACTCCAGCTTCCTAACTTCTCCACCATCATCTTTCTTGTTGAACTTAGTTGGAGCACGTCCTTCAATAATTTCCTGAGAAAAGGTAGAAGAGGTCCATATTTAACCTCACCTGCTGAGCTAGCACTAGTCTTTCTTCCTCCCTGACTGATGTTGGCTGAGTGTGAAATTGTATGGCGGCAATACTTTTCCCAAAATGGAAAGCACTGCATCATCATGTGTTAGCTTCAGTTTGGTAGCTGATTACTATATATGGTCTATTTCTCCTCTATGCTTTGGTGGATTTTTCTTATTCCTAGAATGAAAATTCCTTCTTGGTAGGATCTGTCAATCTGGAAACTCATGTCTTTCAGTCCAAAATTTCCTTTTTTCTCATGGCTGTTGGCTTCCTGCTCTCTCCACCTGTACGCAGGCTGGCTGGGGCAAACTCAGAGTGGCTGGGAGGGGAGGACTTTGTAAGCAGTGGGCTTGCCTGTTATGCAGCTGTAAACCCTACCCAGAGCAGCACTCGAATGAACACCTGCTTTTCCTACCCTGAATTCCAGGGAATCACGGCGTGCCTTTCCAGCGGCATTACCTGAGCAGAAAAGCAAAAGAACAAAAACAATAAAAATCAGGGATATTCCCTAATCCTGACTCTGTCCAAAACCGGTGGGAGAGCAACAGCTCAGTAAGACTGAGAACATCCTTTTAGCCTCAGAGCCCACCTGATTAACGCAGCTAAATTTACAAGTACAACTACTTTTTATATTACCAATCCTTTATACCTGCCCTCCATATCCCCCTCCCTGTACAAAATGATTCCTCTCTGGATATACTTTGTAATTGAAGTTGTGTTAGAATAATTTCCTCTCCTCCATTTTCTTTCTGGAACTTCAACTCACTGGATATTGGACATCATAGATTATCTAATCTTAGTATCTTTTCTTTCTTATTTCGCATTGATTTTTTTTGCTGATGTCTGAGATATTTCTGAAACTTTTATCTCTCAAGCAGGTTTTTAAGATTTTAAATTTCTGCTGTCATGTTTCTAACCTCCAGATAATTCATTCTCATTCTGTTTTCCTTTTACATAGCAGCCTCAACTTATCTAAGGAAAGCAATATTCTGTCTCATTGTAGCGGAGTTCTAAGTCTTCTGCTTCCCAGTGTATCTCTTTCCCTGCAGTTTAGGTTTGCCTTGATTTGAATTCTCAGTTGCTTTTGTTTCTTCTTCACATTGAAAGATTCTCCTCTGCTCCTAATCTAGCCCAAGGAGCTCAGAAAGTTGAAAGCACAGAGCAGAGGGCAAAGCTTGGATCCAGAAGGACACAAGGATCCCAAAAGTTTTCCTTTACTGAGAAGGTTTTCTTCAGAAAACATTGCACAAAATAACTGCTGTAAAAGTAACTTCTCATTCTGCTTAGAACGCCCCCTACACTCTGCCTACACTGTCCTGAGAGTCAGCTACTGTTCACAAGAGAGCTACTGTTTTATATATTCTGTGAAAGTATATTTGCCAGCAGTTTCCCCCATGGCTGCCCATTTCTCTCACACCTAATCCTCCTGGTGTGCTGCTCTTTCATAGCCTTTTGAATGCCAGTTCTGCTGAGCTACTTCATACAGGATAAACACAATCAGGATACCTGAGCACCAAGCACCAGACAGCACAGTCATCACCCGGATCCTCAAGAGAACGCTCCCTACCAAACACCAGGAGCCCCATTTCCAGAGAGGTAACCTCACAACCAGGGCCCCGCTGGAGTCTGACACCAAAGCTTGTGTTCATCACAGCTGACCTTCCCCTAACCCTGTAGAATTTATTTTTGTTCTTCCAAGAGAATGTGGTTCCTGGGGTAACAGGGCTCCAGCATTCCATATGGAACTGCAGGCAGGGTGCACGGCAGAGGGAAGAGCCCAGAAGATGCTCCTCTCCTGCTCATCTGCCTCCTGCCCAGGGCTAGCGGGAAGAACTGTCTCCGCTGCTGGTCAGACTTGCCTGCCCCGATTGACTACGATCTGAAGATTCTCTGGGGCACCCCAGGGCCTCCCACAGAACTCTCCAAGAGCCTCCACTCCCTCTTCCAAGAGGACAGCATCTTGCTCCAGCACCGGTACCTTGGTGAGGCACAACCAGGAGGACAGAGATCCAGGCTGGCTTCTCCACTTGCCCTGGCCCTTCCCTCCCTAACTTTCTCCCTTCCCACATTCCTTCATCAGATCAGGATCTTGTAGAAGAGGAGACAGCCAAATTCTTCAACCAAGTAGACCAAGCCACTGGGAAGTTTAGAGATGGTAAGGAAACTGTGTCCCAGGGCCCCAAGGTTTTGGGTTTTCAGAGCTTGAGCCTCCAAACACTCCCAGGGGGCAGCTTTGGTCATGGGATAGGAAAAGGCCAGTCAAGGGTGAGAGATGTATCTCTGTGTGCTCTACAGAATGTCTGCTTGAAAACACTGGTTTAAAATCTCTGCCTTAAGCAAGTTGTATAACCAAGCATCTTCCCCTCCTGCTCCACCCAGACAAAACATCACTTCTGAAAGAGACTGATATGCACAAGGATCTCCTTGCTGAGAGGCTGAACAAAAGAGCTGAGAAGCTGAGGGAGCAGGGTGAGAGATAAGGTTGCCCCTGCCCACCCCTTCCTCAGCCCTTCATCCCACAGAATCCAGTCTGCAGGCCCTCCTGGGCCTTCCCAGAAGCCCCCAGCCTTGCTTGCCTGCAGCCTGGGCGCCTGCCACACCATCTCCATGTCCTGCTCACTCACCCCGACCCTCCCAGCTCTTCTGCCTCCCTAGCATCTCCGTTTCTTCACCCTCTCTCCTCTCTCGGCAGCCTGCAATGAGCCATGCGGTGAGTATGGCCCAGTCCTGGGCCTCAGTGGGGGATGTCAGTCTCTGCCCACTCTGGGGTCTTGCTTGTCATTGTCACAGATATCAAATCTAAAATGAAGATCACTGAGTTCGCCACCTGCAGGGCTCACTTTCTGTCTTGCAATGACCCTGTGCTCTGCCCAGGTCGGTGGCCTTTCCCCGTCCAGTCCCCCTCCTTGTGCTTCTCCTCCCCAAGACCATTGCTCTCTCTACCCATCTTCCTCCTCTCCCAACCTGGAACCTTTCTTGCTCTTCCTCCTTCTCCAGGAGCAAGTAGCACCCGTGGGATTCCTTGATGTACTCATGTCCAGCTTCAGAGCTATGCTGCCATCTTTCCCGAGGTTCTCAGAGTCAGATGCCTGGAAACTGGCCCAAACCCAACTCTACTTTCTCCAGACCTGCTCTGCCTTCAAGGTCCTCCTCAGCAAAGGTCCCCAGCCACACCCTTCCAAACAGGGAATCTCGCTCTACCTTCTCCCTCTGACTGACCATGTGGGATCACCACAGCTTTCTAAGTAACTCTTAAGGGTACCCTGATACATCCATTCTCACCTCCTCCTCTCTTCCTAGGACATCCTCACCTCCCACCTGGGTTAAGGCAGCCTTTTCTATCTGGCCTTCTTCCCATCCTGGCTACACCTCACTTCACCACCAGAAAACTCTCAAGGAGAACACTTACTCATGGTATTCCCTGTTTATCAACTCCAGTGGCTCCCAGCTTCCCTCAGATAGCTTCCAGACTCCCCGGAGTCCCCTTGTGAGCAACAGGTGCTCCTGTCCTACCTCCCTGACTCTCAGCCACATAAAGCTCTGGACACTCTGAACAGATGGGCGGTTTCATGATCCTGTCCACAACTCTGTCCTCTTTCCAGAACAGTTTTGCCCATGATCACTGGAGCTGAGCTCGTATTTGTCTTTCACAGTCCATTCCCAGGTCCTATGTCCTGAGCAGTTTTCTCTGACAGCTCCCACCCTCGGAGTTTTGTCAGTGTTCTTTGCCATCATCTCCCCTGCCCCATGCCATATCCTACTTCCTGTGGACACCACACCACAATTGTTGGCTTGTCCCCCTTCTGGAGAGAGAGAATTATGACTCACTCTTGTCTTAAGGTGTACCAGGCACAGAATAGAGACAGTGTCAATGTTTGCAAATAAGTGACTGAGTGGACAAATACAGAAGGATGTGTGGTCTTCTCTTGAGCAGAGGCAACCCTGCCTGGCTTCCCAATACAGGGCTCCTCCCCTTCATACCCGCAGCCAGGAACCTTCAGAGCTAAAGTGGGTTATGATCCTCATGAGCTTCGGGACTTTGCTGCCCCTGGTTGTAGCTGGAGGTAGGTGAGTGATTGCTCCCAGCCCCAGCATCCCCAAGAAAGACATGCCTGCTCCTTGACTGATTCATCTCCACCCAGTTTCCTGGCCCAGATGTTACCTTTTCTGGAGCAAGAAGAAGGAGACTGAAGAGGTACTAGGGAAAGAGACCCCTGCCAGAACCCAGGGCTGCCTCCACCGGGAAGGAGGGTGTCCTGGGGACAGTGGGGCCCAGGAGCTCTGGGTGGGGTCCTAGGATCTGGCATCCAGAGCAGAGTGGGATTGTGGGCCACAGATGCACCCAGGCCAGTGACACAAAACAGCAAAGCTCCAGGCCTCTGGCTCTCACACAAAGTGGTCCTGCTATCTGGGTCACTGTCCCTTGCCAACTCCTTCCTTTTGCATCCCCCCCTCCCCGGGCTACCTGCACATGTCAGCACCCTGGCCGTCTCTGCCTGGCTCCCAGGCGAGTGTGGCTAGTGGGCACTCCCAACAGGAGGGCAGAGGACAGAGGTCACGTTGGAAACCCCTGCTTCTTTTCTCTTCACAGAGACAAGGAGGCCACTTATCACCCAGAAATGAACCGAAGGCACTAGAAAGCTTGCAGCCACCTGGTTCTGAGCTTTCTGTCCTGTGACCCTCTCCATATACCAGAGCCACAAGAGCCTCAAAGTTCTGAGGGCCAAGAAATGGTTTCCCTACACACATGCCTTTGTAAATAGTCCCTTCATTAACACATCCCCTTGAATTCTAAGTAACTGTACCTTCTGCTTCCTGCCCTGACCCGAGAAGACTTCCATAACTCTATGGGCTGTCCTGTCTCCACATCGTCCCCTGTGACCTACCACCCTCTTCCTGTCCTGGTCCCCAGAGTGATAGCTTCTCATGCTCATGCCAGCATCACCTAATTGAAACACCAGGGACGAGGGCAGATGTGGTCTGGGTGGCTTCGGAGGTCACCATTTCTCTTCAGAGGTCTTCCCTTCAGAGGTCTCCCAAGAAAGGGTGAGCCACAAGCTGAGGGCCAGTCAGGGCAGATACTAGGGGGAAGACACCAGAAACAGGCTCCAAGTCACTCCATCAGCAAGGGCACCACACCTTGGCCCAGAGGAACCCAGTCCTTAGTGCTGCCATTAAATGTTGTTCCCCAGCCTTGCCCGTGATGGGAGCTTTGCTCTTTCTCCCTGTCCTTCCTTGCATTTTTCCTGCTCAGGACTCAGGGCTGCCATGCCAGAGGGACCCTGGTATGTCCCTCTCCCATCTCCCTCTGCATTGAGTCCCTCCACACCACCTCCCAGCTGCCCTCCTGGCAGCTTAGCTGAGACTAACCAGGACCCCTCCTCCAACTTGACGTCTGTAAAGCCCCTCACAGCTCCAGCAGGTCCAGGGTCCAGGTCAGCAGAAAGGAGGTGGATCTGAAATTTAACCCTTGGGTAAGCACTCCAGAGCCTGGGCTCCCTCCCAGGCTCCAACACAGAGCCCTGGGTTCCCACATCTGAGGCTGAGTTCCTCCATCCAAGTATCACGATGTATTTAGCTGCCAAGTGATGTGCCCTAGCCTGGAACCCATTTGGGTTGCACTTGATAGCCTATATTGGTTCATTTGGTGGGCTCAGATTCTAAATCTCTTCCCTGAAACTCTGTTGGGGTTCCCTGCCCAGTTCCTAAAGCAAGACTTCTGGTTTTCTGCACCTTGCTGGTGCCCCATCCTTACAGCTGTTGGCTCAACCTGAAAGCAGGCTGAATTCAGGGGCACAATCTCACAACAAGTGACCCAGGTGGTCACTGCTTGGGGATTGGAAGAGTCCCAAGGCAAAGGAGGAAGAGTCCATGAATGACAGCCAGGCAGGGAGCACCACAGCAGAGGCAGCAGTGAGTTGGTCCCCGACACAGACATCTGTGTCTTACCCAGCCAGGAATCCAGGAAGGTGCTAAGATTTGGACCTAAAATGTCCCCAGTGGCCATGTGCTGGTGTCTTAGTTGTCAGTTGATGGGTTTTTGGAAGGGGGGTGGATCAGATGGGTCTAACTTCATCAGTGAGTTAATCCACAGATGGCTTCATAATTAGATGACTTTATTGGGAGGTGATCGAAACTTAGGAGATGGAGTGTAGTTGAAGGGAGGAGGTCATGTAAGTGCAACCTTGGGAATTCTACCTTGTTCCCAGCCCCGTCCTTTCTGGGTTTCTCTCTGCTTCCTCATTGCAATAAGGTGGAGGACTTGCCTCCACCACCTTTCTGCCATGATTTTTCTACTTCACCACAAATCTAAAAACATTGGAACCAGCTGGCCATGGACTGACACTTCCTGAAACAGCAAACCAAAGTACACATTTCCTCCTTTGAGGTTTTTTTTTTCCATTTTAAAATTTTTTATTAGTTAGTAAATATCATTAGTACAAAATCATTATATTAATATCATTATAAAATATTGTGAGCTGATATGTGTACATAGCTCATCTTAATTCTTTCTTCATACTCTTCCCCTGTCTCATTCTCTCCTCACGCCATCTCTAGATTCCCTTTCTGTTTGCAAAAGAACTATATCTCTGTTTCTTATTATCTTTTTTATTATTTTCAAATTATTTATACTTTTATTATTCTCTTTATTTATTTCTCTCAGATAAGATAAATCATATGATACTTAAGATTGTGCACCTGATTTATCTCACTTAACATTATTGTCTAAAGGTGCACACATTTTGCTACAAGTGACTCAAGGTTATCCTTCTGTATGGCAGAGCAGTATTCCACTGGGTATAAATACATTTTCTTTATTCATTCACCTGTTGATGAACATATAGTCTGCCTCCAAGATTTAGCTCTTATGAATTATGTAGCTATAAGCATGGATATGCACATATTATTGTAAAATTTTTGAACACTTTTGGAAAGATATCCAGGTTGATAGCCCAAGTCAATTGGAATTTCTATTTTTAGTTCTTTGAGGACTCTCTATACTGATTTCCATAATGATTGTCCTACTTTGCATTCCCACCAGCAATGAAGAAGGGTTCCTTTATCACCATAGCCTCACCAGCATTTGCTATTATTTGATAACTTGATGTGATATATTACATTCATATGATGTACTACCTTTATGTGGTATACTGTATTTATTAATTTACACATTAAACTATCCTTGTATTTTTGCAATTAAGCCTACCTAGTCATGATATATGATCTTTTTGATGATATGTTGCGTTCCATATCCCAGTATCTTGTGGAGGATTTACATCTCATTTCATTAAAGAGTAGTTCTCTCTTTTGTTTGGTCTTTGTCTGGTTTTGGAATCAGGGTAATTCTAGTTCTAAGAATGACTTTAGGAGTACTTCTTCCTCTTACATTTCATTAAAGAATTTAAGGAATACTGGCATTAGCTCTTTCCTGAAGTTTTTATAAAATTCAGCAGTGAACCCATCAGGTCCTGGGCTTTTCTTAGTTGGTAGGTTTTTAATTACTGCTTCAATTTCATTGGCTAGTACTGGATTGCTCAGGGTTTTTACATCTTCTTGGTTCAATTTTGGCAATTTATATGTTTCTAGAAATCTATCCATTTCTTCTAGTGTTATAGTTTTTTCTAGATACCACCCCCAAATCCTCATGTGGTCATAGGGCTTTTTCTGAGGTGACTGAATCTAAAGTGTGTGATGCTGAAATTAAGGATGTGTGATTAGTAAATCAGTCCTCTGATTGGTTTTGCATAATTCTGGCTAGGATTAAGAGTGCGAGTGCTACACCCACCCTAGGGTGGGTAGCCTGCGTACAATATAAGGGACAAAAAGAGTCTTCTCTCTTGTTGCTTTGGCTCTCTTTCACTGCCACGAACTGTTACCCCTCTGCTATACGCTACCCTGCCTTGGATCCAGCCAATTATGAACTAAAATCTCTACAAACTGTGAGCTAAATAACCCTTTTCCCATTTAAATTTGGGTGTTGGGTATTTTATCTCAGTAATGAAAGAAAAGTAACTAAGGCATCTAGATTTTCCAATGTATTCAAGTACAGTTTTTCAAAGTAATTACTAGTAATCAAGATTTCAGTGGGATCTGCTGTGATTTTATTTTTTTTTATCTCTGATTGCATTGATTTGGGTCAATTTTTTTATTTTCATAATTTTATTTGTGGATTTTTCTATTTTGTTTATTCTTTTCAAAAATCAACTCTTTTATTCATTGATTCTTTGTATTTTTTTAGTCTTAATCTCATTAATTTCTGCTCTGATTTTTATAATTTCTTTCCTTTACTAGCTTTGTTTTGGACTGTTATTGTTCTTCAGGACTTTGAGGTGCATCATTAAGTTATTTATTTGAGCTCCCTCTTTTTTTAATATGGAGATTCTAAGCTATGAGTTTCTCTTTTAAAACTCCCTTCACTGTGTCTCATAGGTTCCAGTATGTGGTACTGATATTATTGTTTGATTCTAGAAAGTTTAATTTCTTCCTTGATGTCTTCTATGGCTCACTGATTATTCAAGAATGTGTTGCTTAATCTCTATATATTTGCATAATTTTGTGGCTTCATTTAAAATTGATTTGTGTGTGTGTGTATGTGTGTGTGTATGTGTATGTGTTACTGGGAATTCAACACAGGACCTTGTACATGCAAGGCAAGAGCTTTACCACTGAGCCATATTCCCAGCCCTGCACTATAATCTGAAAATATACATGGGGTGATTTTAATTCTTGATATTTATTTATGGAAGCATTGTAATGTAAACTATACTCTATTTTGGAGAAAATTTCATGTGTTGCTGAAAAGAATGAGTATTGTGTCATTGTTACAGGGACAACCTGTTGATATCTATTAAGTCCATTTTTTCAAAGGTGTAGTTCAACTCTAATTTTTTTGTTGTTGATATTTTTGTCTAGTTAATCTATTTGTGATACTGGGTATAGTGGTCCCCCACTATAATTGTGCTTGTAATTATCTAATCTTCTATGTCTGAGAATGTTTGGGACACTGTTATTTGGTGCAGATATATTTACAATTGCTATCTCTTCCTGTTGAATTATTCTTTCACCAATATGCAATGACGTTCTTTGCCTTTTTTGATTGGTATGATTTGAAGTCTACTTAGAAGAAGACAACTACTCTGGCTTTTTTCAGGGTACCATTGTTTGGAATATTATTTTCCATCCTTTGATTTTTAGTTTATGAATTTCTTTTGTGATTAAATGTGTTTCTTGTATGCAGCATACCAATAGATTTTTTTTAACCTAGTCATCCAATCTGTGTCTTTTACCAGAGGAATGAGACTACTCACATTGAGAGTTATTATTGAAAAGTATTGACTAATTCCTGTCATTGAATTATTTTTCTATTACCAGTTGCTTTTTGCTTTACCTTTTGCTTAATGGCTCATCTTACCTGGTGTATTCATTGCACTATTACTACAAGGGTTTGTTTGTTTGTTTGTTTGTTTGGCATTGTTGGCTTCATTGCCTATGTCTAAAATATTCTTGAGAATTTTTTGAAGCACTGTTTGTTTGGCCATGAATTTTTTATGGTGCTCTTTATCATGGAGATATATTCTTTCTCCATCAGTTTTGAGAGATAATTTTTAGGACATATTAGTCTCAGTTGAAATTTGTTTGAGTTTGAGACACTTCACTTTAAGCTCTTCTGGTCTTTAAGGTTTGTACTGAGAATGCTAAAATTCTAATGGGTTTATCTCTATAAGTGATCTGTTGCTTTTCTCTGAGCTTTTCAAATTCTGCCCTTGTGTTGGACTTCTGAGATTTTGACTATGA